TATATATATCTTAGAAAAATAAATTTTTAATATACAATATACATACTTAATATATATACATATTTAATATACGATTTATTTCTCGTTATTCATTCACAATGCTTTCTGGCAAAATGATACACATAATGATAAGTGATAGTTGTCATAGAAGCATGCGAAGCATACTGTCTTTCTATACCATGCGCATCAAATAAACGTAGGTGTTATGCCACAATCACTTTTAGTAACCGTAATTCTATTAAAACGTCATTAACGTTGAAAAAAGCATAAATTATATTATTCCGTCAGGTTTGAAAGCGATCCGTCGTGAAATCCTAAAATTATTGATTTTCTCGAAAAATACGCAGAGGTGTAATTTATTGCTTTGCAGGAATTATTTTTTGATGCCCCAGAATAATCATGCAAAAACTGCTCAAAATCCGTGAAAGACTTATGTGAGTCTCTCCTTGTTAAACTTTTATTAATTCTTGAACTATTAGTATATTTTACCTTAACATCAGTTAACACTGTGGGTCCGACAAAGTTCCCGTTTTCAAAGCCAGACACAACAATACCTCTTCCATCGAGAGACAATTTCGCACCTTCTTTAACACCTGATTCGATCAACTCGTTGATCCTCTGCTTTGCTTGTGGTGATATAACAGGTCCTAGATCCGTGCCGGGCACATGACCGGCATTTACCTTTAATTTCTTCGCTGCTTCTACTAGTTCGGGTATCCATTCCTTAGATCTGCCTACGAAAATGGCCATCGAGAGTGCCATGCATCGCTGCCCGGCAGCGCCGAAAGCCGCCCCAGTGATTTGCGATAATGTTTTGTTCTTATTCGCGTCTGGCAGGACAACGCAATGATTTTTAGCACCCATATTGCACTGTACTCTTTTTCCGTGCGCGCTACACTGCTTGTAAATATACTTGCCCTAAAAATTACAAAATTCATTGATTTTTTTATTATTCGTATCATCATATTATCTGCTTACATTTAATTTTCATTAACATTTTTAATATAAATTTTACTCAAAAAGTACATTTTAACAAGAACTAAACGTTTAATGAAAATAAATTACAATTAGAATTATTAAGAATTTTATTAAATTCTTAATAAAAGCAGAAAAAGGAAAAATGCTCGATCTAGGAGATAGCGCAGCCCACACACGGAAAGAACGACTTTTCTAAAGTACCTAAAAATTTATAGATAATAGATATAAATATGCAAATCTTGTTGAACCATTAAAATAATTTATGTAGGATGCTTAAACTAGTTGGTAGACTATCAAAGACTTATTGCAGCATTGCTCATTATGCTTGAACCTCCTACGTAGTTATTGTTATAATTCAACAAAATTATTTTCAGATTTATGTCTAGCTAAATTTGTAAATACATTAGCAAAATCATTCTTTCTGTGCACGATGTCGATTTCTGATTTTGTTTTTTTTTTTTATCTTTATTTACCGCTTGATCAGAACCGACAAACGAGACGGCCTTGATATCGGGATGTTCGCAGATGAAATCCACAGCTGCATGTTGACCGTGTATTACATTTAAAAGGCCAGCTGGTGCACCGGCTTTCGTAAAGAGATCAGCGAGGATCATGGATGCACCTGGTACCCGCTCCGACGGTTTCAGGATAGCGGCATTCCCGCATGCGACCGATATCGGAAACGACCAAAGCGGTATCATGGCGGGAAAGTTGAAGGGACAAATGGATGCAGTAACACCGAGAGGTATTTTATATGAGATAATATCCATATCCGTGGCGATGTTGGGCGTAGATTCTCCCATTTGGAGCACCGGAATCGATGCACATGAATCAACAACCTCTGCCGCCGCATAGTTAAAAATCAATCCACGCAGTACCAATTATAATTATTAATCGTGATTATAATTTTAAATATTATAATTACATTTTGCATAATCTATCTATTTCTTTTAAATTAAAATTAAAATGACATTCGTGTATATCAGAATAATTCTTTTATTTAATACTTCTTCATTCAACAATTTTTATTCAACAATTTTGAACTAAATTATTAAAAAACGAATTAAATATTAAATTATAGTATTGCTCGATATATAATAATACAAGTAACAATTTAACGCGATATACTTACGAAGACCTCGAAGCACATCTCCTTCTGCGTCAGCCAAAGTCTTTCCATTTTCTTTCACGAGATTCACCGCAATCTCTTTCTACGGACAGATGGAATATCACAAAAGAATAAGATAAAACGGTGAATAAGACATGGAGATGTAATGAAACTAGTAGTAAAATATTTGCAATGTCGAGAACGTGATTACTTAGTAGCAAAGGTTCGTGCGGTTCGGTGGTTGTCCATTGCCATTTATGCAATAATAAACTGTCACCGTATTATTGAATTCTTCAACTTTGCCATGCTCATTATCTTATCTTTATTATCTTTGATTCAAATATATGTTATCATCTCTCTCTCTCATCTTTTTTTACTTTTCGAAAGTGATATTAATTAATTCGTGAAATAATTTAGAATGTTGGCTTAGAATTTAGTATATATTGATAAACTGACCGAGTGTTCGCGAATAAGAGCCTGATACTTTAGCATCAAATTTTGTCTCGTTAGCACGCTGGTATGTCGCCACTTCTCGTATGCTTTCTGTGCACTCTGTACCGCACTTTCCATCTCGTCTCTCGTACATTTTGGAGTGCGATATAGCAATTGATTCGTTGCTGGATCGTGGACATTCGTGAACTCTGTAGCCTTTGAGTCTGAAAAAGAATTGTAAGTTATAAAATGAAAATTGTTTATATGTAAATTACTATAACATTAAAATAATTGAATATATAATTTATATTGAAATAATTTAAAATACATAATTAATTGACGTATAACAAAATTTTTATGCAATATATACAGTAGTTATATTTTACCTATATATTTATTATTGATCTAACAAGAACAACTTAATATCTATTTGTAATTTAATTATTGTAAAGTTATTGACGTTTATACTTCTGATATTTTTAAAATAAATACCTATGTAATTTATAGATAGATTTATAGCATCGCACGAATGCGTAAATATCATTGTAATAACACATTGTAATTACACATTGTAATAAAGTTTACTTGAAGATATCCTCTTCAACTGATTTCGTTTCATAAATGAATATTCTTTCGTAGGTTTATCTATCTATGATACATTTTGTTATAAATATTATTTAAATTGCATTTTGTTCCGAATATGTCAATATGTCATCAATACGAAAATAAAGTTTAAATTAAAACTAAGTTTAAATTAAAATTAGAAGCAATTTAATAAGTTTGAATTGAAAAATTGTAATTAATTAAAATTATTGAAGGATTTTATTATTTTTTGCATTATTTTTAGAAAAGGGTATGAAGCTAATATTTAACAGTGAAAATAAACTTTTATTTGAAAATAAACTTTTCACGTGAAAAAATTTCTTCCGTTTTTATAATATAAGCAAGAGAAATACAAAAAATATTCAATTGGTAAGAATATAAAGAATTTAAATGTTTAATAATATTTACCTATGAATTGTCCATCGATATACATTTTAACCATCGGAGTAGCATTGCTATAAGATCTCGTAAACCGTGTCTGAAATATTTTTATATTTAATTGGTACAAAAAAATATTATTTTTGTTTAAATAATTTTTTCGTATGCATTAATATATATGATTCATGCACATACTCTATCAGAAATTGATTTAGAGATATTAATAGCAGATAACATTTCAAATGTGAATATTTTTTTCGTGGAACGTTATTTGTAATTTTATTTATAAATTGTGTGATCATACGATTAATATACGCATTGACAAGTTAGTAAAGCTACGTCATTCGAGATATCTGAGTATTTTTAAATAACAAGCAAATTTATATGATAGCACTGTTTTCGAGTTAATAAATGTATGGCGATTCATATTTGTCGATACTGTTTTAAACTTCGTGTAATATAAATGAAACAATTGTTTCATTTATACTACACGAAGTTTAGAAGCGTAAAAATCACGATTAATGTTATTTTTCTCTTACGAACATCATAGTCATCCGAGGATCAATTGATTAGACAATTGTCACTTTATGGTTACATTTATTAACACATTGATGCATCGATACATGATCAAGATAATATAAAAAGAATTTGCATTCTTAAACAGAATATAACAGTATATTTTATTTTAAACAAAGTAATTAAATAACCTAATTTATTTTGTTCAAATTTTATAAATATCAAATATATTTTAATGAGAAGATATATGATATAATATGATACGATCTTTTCGAAAACAGAATTATAATTATTAATATCTCGAATAAACTAAAGTTTTTTTAAATTATTTTTTTATTTAGGGCATTGCCTTCAAAGCATTTACAGTTTTAACTTTTAACACAATATACAAATATATTTTATATAACAATAGTTCACATTTAAACATATTTTTCTGGATTATCGAATTACAAATGCTTCAGCTATTATGCATGTTTATAATATTTTGATAAGCGCATTCTTTCGTTTAGATAGCTATTGGAAGTTTAGTTGCACTACACACGAAGACTTCTTTTATAGAATGCTTTAAAAAAATCAGAATATTTAATAAAACTTATAGATTTAGAAATTAATTAAAAACTAATATACGAAGCGTCATTACGGTTTGATGACGGTTAAGATATTGAATTATTATAACTTACATATATTCATATAAATGAATTAATTTCAGATAATTGCATGCCGATATATGGTTGGACTTTCAACGCAATCAATCTGAAATATTAATAATCCCCTCAAATTTCCCAAATTAATTTAAAAAAACTGTAATAAACTTATTGCGAAAAATATTGCCTCGGCCGGGAATCGAATATTTTTTGATTGCGTTTGAAAGTCCGACAACTATATTATGCAATTATCATTTCTGAAATTAATTCATTTATATATATAATAGTTCAACATCTTAACATTCAGACCGTAGTGGCGCTTCGTATTTAAATCTTATTAATTACAATATATTTATTATTGTATAGATAGATTTAATATATTTACAACAATGTTTATTTAAAAAATCGATTTCAAAAGTTATAGCACGACCAACACGTTATGCATCAGCAAACACATTGTAACGTCAGTGATGTATCATTATAATAAATTAGCATTTGGCATACATCAGATTTTTCCTTTCTTATTCTAATGCCCGTATCATACGTCAGTCAAACTTTGTACTTAAGGCTTCCTTAAATTTATTTTTAGATGTTCAGTGACCAATGAAATAATTCGTAGAGCATCTGAAAATAAATTTAAGGAAGTCTTAAATATAAAGCCTGACTATGAACACGGGTCTAAAACATAATAACAGAAGTCAAAGTATTTTCTCTCTTAATATAAATTATAAAGTAAACTAACAATCTGTTTTATGTCTATCTTTGGATTTATTAATTAAAAATTTTACACAAAATATAAAAATGTATACACTTAATGATTTAAAAAATTATTAACACAAATAATTATTAACACAAATGGGATCAAATGGGAAGTAATAAAGACAAATATCACTTTACAATTTCTTCATTATTCATATCAGTCTATTAGAAGCACTCGTTAGATATTCGTTGTCGCGAATGCAGAAGTAATTATTTATATTTACACGCGCACTACAATAAAATCATCGGAGTATGATATGATCCACAAAACAATTTGCAAATAATTAATTTTCGCGCTAACGAAGCTTTCACAGTTCGTCGGATATCCACTAGATGGTCAGATTTTCTGCACTAATACATTCAAATGCAGCCTGCAGCTGTAACGCGACAAATTTTTTAAGAGCGTGCGAAATGACAGTCAGCATACCGATCGTGACGGCGATGAATGTATTCGTACCTCACACTTGGCGATTCTCGCGAGGAGCGCCATGCTTTCAGTTAGCACGTTCGACAGAGCAGCTTGTGTAGAACTGAATGATTCGTATCAAAAAAATGGCCTTGCATTTAACCGACGTGGCACATGATGTTTTCCGACAAGATAGTACATACATGTTTGTTTAGAATGTCTTGCTCGATATCTTTGTAGTGCGATGAATCGAACCTAATAACTCGAATCGCTTGAAGAAAAGTGGCTAAAAATTATCGATCTAATAAACATTTTAATTGAACAAACAATTAGTTTTACAATACGATTTTATCGATTAATTTTTATTTAACTAGAAATCAGCAATAAAATGATGTATTTATCAATTTGCAGATACTTATTTCATTACTGCAGATTTTAGATATGATAGATTTAAAATAATCATCTTTAGAAATTTCTGTTTTAAAAAAAATATTCAAAAATGTGTAGTATAATATATAAAATTTAAATATAGTCAAAAAATGCTAATGTTAAAAGGAAAAAGAAAACGGTATAAAGTGATATATATCCAAATAGAAGAAGCTCAACTATTAAGACTAATATTTTATTAATATTTTATTAATAATTTATGGAAAACGTTTTTCTAAAGGAATTATTAAAAAAAAACTCATTTACAAAATTAGCTTTATTTTTTATTGTAGTATTACAGTTGATAAATATATAATTCATTTTATTTTATATAATTATTTAAAAAATGTTGTAAACAATTAATATAAATCTAAATATGACTTATTTAAGATTTAATATTAATTATCTTTATCGATTACTTATTTAATATTTATTATCTTTATCGATTAAAATTGAATCCTATAAAAACCAGCTGTTGGAAACTTAATATCTAGACGAAGCAGACATTACTGGACTTTTATTCGGTATCTCAGATGTCGCTGCCATGTTGCATTGAATGCTAATGAATGCACAAATTTTTATAAATTATTTAATTTTATTACATACTTTAATTAATTTACAATTTCAGACGTATATTTAAAATGCAATTGGATTTAACTACTTAAAATTACGATTAATTCAGTTTTAATATTTTATATATAAAATAATGAATTATAAAAATATTCAACCAATAGAAAGTAAAGCTCATAATGGTCAAAGCTGGATCTTTAATGCTTAAATAATTTAATGTGAATTTATATACTTTAATATTTTATAAAAATGTTACAACAAGAGTTGTTAAAAGAAAAGATTTTAACATTTTATTAAATGTTGTAACTATGATTTATAATATATCATAAAATTATATATCATAAAATTATATTTAATATTCATGTTATTCCTAGCAAAACACTGAAGTAACACATGTAATATTTTTGTTTTATTAACTTATTTTATTAATTTATATTATTAATTTATATTATTAATTGAGCTGTATAGAATGCAAGCGATATCTTACATGCTTACATGATTATATATTGAATAAAAAATTATATAATATACACATTATAAAATATACTATATACAATACCATAGATTACAAGCACCTCTCGAGCAAGAAGATAATTTATTGTTAGAATAGCTTTAAAATATATACTGTCATATAAAAAGAGTTCAGAAATAAAATAATTTACAAATTTCAAAAGATTTAAATACTTACGTGATATTTTATTGTCGACTTTTTTGCGAAGATCTTCGAGATCCATATGTCAAAATGATTGATTAAGATGAGAGTTAAAATATTGTAAACAATACTTTTTTATCCATGTTCACATTAAATTGTGCGATCAACAATGTGTGTTTGAAGTATTGATGACAGAAACTGTGCTAATGATTGCCAGTCATATACGTCAAGTGATTATATGGGATTTGATTGGCAGACAATCATTGGAGGCAATAAAGTTCTATCCGTTATGCTAAAGTAGATACTCTGCTCGACTGTCTACTTGCACACATGCATGATTTCTAGCTCACGTCGGCATGCGGTGTAATGTGCAAGGAAAGTGAAATGCCCTGAAAACCTATCTTGCAAACACAAACTATGCATTTCTCGTTAGTAATAATTAAATTTAGTGATAAAACTCGTTATTCGAAATTATGAATCAGATTACAATTAAGCAATTTTTAACTTTCTAGATTTCCTTTGTAGATCTTTTCTCTAATTCCATTTATTGTAGAAATATTTACTTGTATTTCCACAGATTTCATACAATCTTAAAAATTACATTTTTATTATTTTTAAAGACATCGATTATTTACATGTATTAAATAATAATATAGGTACTATATTGAATTAATAATAACAAATTTTAAAATTTAAGTTATGC